TCTCAGCAAAAGAAATAATATGTGAGGTGAATAGGGAGCCTACATTCTGGGAACAAATTTTTATCCCCCACACATCAGAGAGAGCTCTAATCTCTAGGGTATATAAAGAGCTGAACAAGATATGCACCCCAAAAATAATAATCCAATCAATAAATGGGCCAAGGACCTGAACAGACACTTCTCAGAAGAGAATTTACAATCAATCAACAAATATACGAACAAATGCTCATCATCTCTAGCAATCAGACAAATGCAAATTGGAACTACTCTAAGATACCATCTCACTCCAGTAAGAGTGGCAGCCATGAAGACAAACAACAACAAGTACTGGTGAGGGTGTAGGGAAAAGGTACACTCATACACTGCTGGTAGGGCTGCAAATTGGTGCAGTCAATTTGGAAAGCAGTATGGAGGTTCCTTGGAAAATTGGGTATGGAACCACCATTTGACCCAATTATTCCTCGTCTCGGACTATACCCAAAGAATCTAAAAACAGAATACTACAGGGACATAAGCACATCAATGTTTATAGTAGCACAGTTCACAATAGCTAAACTGTGGAACCAACCTAGATGCTCTTCAGCAGATTAATGGGATATTGGTTTATAATTTTGTTTTCTATTTTTAAATTTGTTCTTTTTAGTTGTACATGACAATAGAATGTATTTTGACATATTGTACATGCATGGAGTTTAATTTCCCATTATTGTGGTTATACATGATGTGGAGTTACACTAGTCCTGTATTCATATATGAACATAGGAAAATTATGTCTGATTCATTCTACTGTCTTTCCTATTCTCACACCTCAGTCCCCTTCCCTGCCCTTCTTTCCCCTTTGTCTAATCCATTGCCCCTTATACTTAATAAGAAATTCTGACCTGCATTAGGTTGCTCTATCACTGAACATATTTTTAAGCTATTACTTCTTGCCACAACTTCATGTGTGCAGGAAAACATGACTCTTACTAGAAGATAATTATCACCAGCAAAATTCTAATTAAATACCTTACTTCCCCATATATCATGTGACATGTCAAAGCCCAATAAGAATTACTGAGTTATTTTCATGATTAGTGTGGTTAATTGAGGGCTTTCTATAAATACATCTTCAATCTATATCAGAAAGCTTCCATCTTTCAAATTAGAAAAAAGTTGTAATACAAGTAGATGTCACAGAAACTGTTGGATTCTCTTTTTGGGAATATCACGATCCACACTGATCAGAACAGCAGACTGTAATTAATATTCTTTTAGAATAGAGTAGGGAATTTGGTGATGTTTTTCAACCTACTGCAGAGATCAGACTGGAATGTGTCAGGAGGGAAACACTGCCTATTGCTGGAAATTCAGTCAATCACCTGAATTGCAATAAGAACAATTAAAACAACAATTACACATGAATGTAGACAGGACAGGTATCTTTTAGATCCTTACAGTGTACATATAATAAAACTGCTTTCACAGCTAACTGCTAGCAGTGGCTAATCATTTTTATCCTGGGCAATGATTTCACTATAGAATCTTGCACTGTAAAAAGATCCAGATTTCCCAAGGACTTCATCCCCCCAAATTCCTTCCTCCTCAGCATTTCCTCCACTCTTCTATTATTTATATTACTCAAAATGCCATATAGCTTTTACATATATAATTTTAGTCAACATACAAGTTGAAGACCTCTATTAGATGTGAATTATTTTACTAGGCAACAGAAAATATAAAACATTATACAGGTATCACATTGATAAATTTAAATGATTCACTTACAGTATACCATCTTCCAATCAAACTAGAAATAGCATCTCTAGCTTCATTAATTAGAGTTTTAAATGCCTCAATCAGCTATTATGCATCATTTCTCTTCTGGTACACGAGGGGAGGCCACACCTAGAACCTGAGCTTCCAGGACCCATGTAAGCTTCAGCAATGACCAAGTCAAGGTGGGATCATGGCAATGAGGATTCCTTGTCAAATTTCCTGTTCTTTCCTTCCTATTTGATATGCTGGAGAGTATCTGTGAGAAGTAAGATTTCATGAGAGCAAAACTGATAGCAGAGTCTGGTATTGGCCTCACAGTGAACTCCCAAGGGAAGGAAGTGGCCTCTGTGTATGGGAACTTGTAACGTATAATTATATAATATAGTCAAACAATGATGATAAAATATAATTATACTATTTTTAATTTTAGTTAACATAATTGTAAGCAAAAATAATGAACACGGATGGGCACCATTATGAAAATCCAAATAACCAGGATGGAAGCAGACCTCAAAGGGATCAGCAAGCCTTTCTTTGTTCCGAAGCAGAGTCAATCATTCAGGCACTGGAAGGGCTCATTTTCTGGGTATGACAATGATCCTTGGTTACAGAAGGAGTCTGAGTTTTATAGCTTACAATGAGGGCAAATTAATCATTGGAGACTGAGGCAAGATGTGTTGGTTTAGACAGTCAGGAAAGAAGTCCTAAAAAGCCCAGAACTCATTGTCTCTGGGAGAAGCTTAGAACTTGGTGTTCGCTGCTTCCTGGCTTTTTGTCCCTATAAATTGTAATGCTCCTGGAGGATGGGGGAGGCAAATTAACTGTCTTCCCAGTTTGAAACTGAATCTCTCTAAGGAAGATAGGTAGAACCTGAGCAAGGAAATAAGTACCTGCTCAGCAACATGAGTCACAAATTTAATCCAGTCACAGGGAGGGAAACTCTTTACACATGCTTCTGACATTGTTACTACACTCATATGTTTTAGCCACTGTCATGTAGGGATGGGTGAACTTATTTGCGAACTTTAGTCTACTTGTTGCCTTTTATTAGTGGAAAATCTTTCCATTTAAGACCTATTTAAAGTCACGTACTGTGTTGTTATGTGATTCTCCTAATACGTCTTGGGATAAGGTAAGAAATGTCCTAGGTAGTTGAACATTACAGAGTGGTGACAGTAGAAGTGACTGCTGTTGTTGGAATTTGCATATTTTGGTTTCTGAAGACCTGGGGAGATGGCTTGCAGCGTTTTTAAAGTAAAGGTGTAAAGTTTGTACATTACAGTTTCCTTCTCTTTCACTGTTTCAGAAGAATAGAATTTTGGCTAATCGTTAACATTTGTTGAATTCTAATATAAAACCCAGCTATTCAACTGTAATATCTTAGACATTAATCCTAAAATGGTTTCTTTCTTTCCCAATTTCCAAGATGAATAGGGTGTTGTAAGTATGAAGTTTGGGTGTAAAAACAATTATTCATCGACGACTTTTGTTTTTGTCAGTTTTGCCTGCATGTGGTTTTCTTTTTTTTTTTTTCTGCTTTATGACTCTGCAGGTTGTTCAATCTGTGGCTTAATTCCTTCATCAGTTTTAGAAAATATTTCACTGGTATATATCTTTAAATATATATTCTAATCCATGTATCCTCCTCTCCCAGATTTCCACTTTCATCTATGCCAAAGCTTTTTCAGCATGTTCCATTTTTTGTTTGTATATTGTTTTGATACCAGGGCAGGACCGCTTAACCACTGAGCCACATCCCAGCCCTTTATTATTTTTTGTTTTGAAACAAGGTCTTGCTTAGTTGTTTAGGTCCTCACTAAATTGCTGAGGCTAACCTTGAACTTGCAATCCTCCTGCTTCAGCCTCCTGAGCCGCTGGGATTACAGGTGTGGATCATCATGCCTGGCTTCATGTTCCATTTTTCTTTTGCTCTTCTATGTAATACTCTTTCAATCAGAAGCTCCCCCTATTTTAAATAGTGACTGTTTTTATCATTTCTAATTTTCCTCCTGGATGTTTTCTTAAATTGTCTTTCCTAACCTAATGTGTTTAGCTGTTAAACTCACACTTGCTACCCCCATACTGGAGGTCAAACCCATGGTTTTGAGCATGCGTTTTACTACAGGTCTACACCTCCAACCTCCTTATTTGTCTTATAAGAAATAGGGTCTTGCTATTTTTCCCAGGCTGTCCTCAAACTCATTACCATTGTGCTTCAGCATTTTGTGTATCTGGGACTATAGATGTACACCACCATATCCAGCTCTAATTCTTAAATTTGATTTTTAAAGATGTTATCCTTCATAAATTGTCTATTTTTAAATTATTTTATTAAAAATATTCATCAGCTGTTTTAGAGTCAAGGTTTGATAACTCCAGCCTGGATTACCTATGGGTCTACTTCTATGTTCTCATTTTTGGAATTTTAGGTCTTGTTTTCTGGCATGCCTGATAATTTTTTTTTATTGATAATATGGTTGATGATATCACCTTTGAGGGAATATTTAACATTCTTTTTGCAAAGTCTGGCAGATCACCTTCTTAGAGCAGAGGCTGGTCTGCTTTGGTTTCCCTATATTCCCAGGACATCTGGGATCTCAAAACCTAGTAGTTTTCAGGGCTCCTTATCTTTGCTGGCTGATGACTTTTACTTTTGTCTCCCTATCTGAAAGTCTGATGAAACATCTGAACTAATAGTGGTTTCAGGAAGACCCCTCTAGCATTTTCCTTCTACCTGAGAGTCCTATGTTGCCCCACACATGTACAGTTTGTGTGTTCAAATACCTGGTGAGGAAAGAGTAGGTGCTGGGTTTGCTCCAGTGCTTTTCCCTTCTTTCCAGGATTTTGGTTCCTCAAGTTCTAGCTGAAGTGTAAGTATTCAAAGTTGTCTTTCCTCCCATTATAGGTTCTAAGGTTGTTTTCTTATCATGGTCATGTGAGATATTTTCATTGGAAAGCAATCTACTCACTGCAGTGAAGTTTAAAACAGACTTCTGTTATCTAACTGGGCTCAGTGATACATGTCTCTAATCTCATCTCCTTGGGGTACGGTGCCATTACATGTTCAAGGTTGGCTTCAACAATTTAGCAAGATTTGCCTCAAAATAAAAAAGAAAGAAATTTAAATGTGCTGGGCATGTAGCCAAGTTGTAAAGCACCTCTGAGTTCAATCCTCAATAACAGAAACAAAACAAAACAATACAACTTACTGTTGCTTTTCCCTCTACAGAAAGGTAGAAACTCAGATGTCTTCCAGTCATTACCAGGATTTTATCCCAGAGTCACGAAGACCTAATATTTCCCTAAGATGGCATCCATTGACCCAAAGTCATTTACCCAAGGGACTGTGTTGAGTATTCATAACATCTGCTATCGAGTAAAAGAGAAGCGTGGCTTTCTACTTTGCCGGAGAACATTTGAGAGAGAAGTATTAACAAATATCAAGTATGTGCATGAACTTTTCAAAATCCTACTTTATTGACTGAACTTCACAGATTTTACCTATCACCAATGAGCTTCTGTGAACATTTGTGTTCAATTCCTTGTAAAGATGTATTAACCTATTCTTTCATTTCTTTCTGCTAAACTTAGACTGAAATGATTGGATCACTTAAGTTTATGTTTATCTTTGAAAGTGACTGGCAAATTGTACCATGGGATTGAGCAATTGTTGTATCAATTAGTTTCTGAAGTACAAAATAAATGAGGAGAAAAGAATTCCTGTAGAAGTTACTTACTACCATTATCATATAGAGAACTTTGTAACTTAGTAAAACAACTTACTTCAACAATATAAGACAACAATCATAATTAATACCATTATACTTTATAACAAATCAAGATTTGAATAAATATTAACTTCTTGTAGGGCCTAATTTTAAGCAATTAAAAATATAATAAAATCTGCAGAAAAGATAAGACATTATTTTGATAAAATATAAAATCTTTGTTTTTTAAGTCAGTTCGTTTGTGAATTTTGTTAAGAGTGGTTAAGTCATTACCAGACTGCTAGATTCATAGGTGTTGAACAAGGAAAAGTATAGGTTCCCTCATGAATTTCCAAATGTACAAAACAACTGATATTTTAGACAAACCATGAATATCATATATAGATATAATGCAGTACACAATTATTAAAAGACAACAAAACATTTCTGAGATGTGAAAAGCCTAAGATTTTTAGCTCTGGATTTAAGTTTCCTTATAAAAAAACAAAATTATTTTAAAAGATACATTTTTAATAATTCAAAACAACTCTCATTTATTATATTAATTTCAACAGCTATGTTTAGATTACTCATGGATTGCAAGCATAGTTAATATTTTAAGTTTTTTGCCAATCTCATAAGAGATTGTTGTATATAGAAAAAAATGAACATGCTCCTCAGATATCAAGACAAATATCCTAATTGGTTAGCAGGCCATAAACACAAGTTACTAGATTTTAAAAATATTCTTATAAACAAGTTCAAATTATTTATTACAGATTTACTAAATTCATATGAAAGGCATTTGGTCCAATTATAAGTCAATTTAGTGTTATGCAAACGGACTGTTTATAAGCATATTAACATATAGGAGCATACAAGAAAATTTAAAACTTAGAGTTAACCATTTTTTAGTTTGAAAATCCATATTTTAGATCTGATATTGAAAGAAGTCTGTTAAGTCTTAAATTTGTATTTCCAAATTTGAGGCCAAGTAGAGAATTTATATCTAAAGACTAAGGCTAGCAAAACTTGAATTGTGAATTTCCTTTTAAGAGACAAGAAAAACAAACAAACAAACAAAAATACAAACAAAAACAACTTTAGCTAGAAAATATATATATATAATATATATATTATATATTATGCATATAATTTAAGCACAAAGAATCAAAAAGAAAGTAAATTCAGTGGTGGTGGGGGAACATGAGCTCAAATTGACTATCGGTAAATTTAGTCCATCTTTTCAAAAGAGACTTATCTGATGACTGAAGCACGGACTATCCTTGGCAAATGTTTTAGATGATCAAACTATGCTGCTTTCAGGAATTCCTTCCCCCTTTTCAGCAGTGGGCCAGAGATTTTATCTTATGTGCTACCAAAAAAGCCCTACACATCAAGGGATGAATAAAGTTACTTTAAGGTATGTATTGAACAAACCCTTATAATTTACCTTCTGAAAAAGCTTCCCAAAGTTCTTGCAACCCAGGAACAGTGTATGTTCTTCTGAAATGGAATTACCTACACAAGTGGAATAAATCTGGTACAGCAGCCAGATAAGTACATGGTCTATTGAAGCCAATCGTGAAGTTTAAACACATGAAACAGTTGTACTAAACCAGCATGCACTTCCAGTTATATAGGCTCTGAGGAGGTGAGTCATTGGGAGCATGACTTTAGTATATATTTTGTCCCTGAAGAGTGGAGTCTCTCTTTTTGCTTCCTGGTGCCATATTCCCAACTGCTTTCCTGTGCTACATACTTCCACCATGATGTTCTGCCTCAACTCAGGCCCCAAGGAATAGAAGTCTCAGTCCTCTGAAATTGGCAGCCCCTAAATAAACTTTTCCTTCTCTAATCGAATTGCTCTTGTCAAGTCTTTTTGGTCATAGCCGTGAAAAAACTGTGGCTCACATGTCTTGTGTGGTTTTTTTGTTTTGTTTTGTTTTGTTTTGTTTTAGAGGAAAAATAATTACTCCTATATAAAGCAAATAACTTCCTGAATCTGGGAAGTGATTATAAAAGAGTTCTTAGACCCACTGGGGCTGAAGACCTATATAAAATCAGATGTTTGTCTAGGTTTTTTTTTTTTTTTTGGTGTTTTGTATGTTATTAGGATCTTTTGTGTTGGGAGTAGCCAACTTCCTTCAGAGGATCAAGAAATGGTGAGTTAGGATAAAATGTTTTGAGTGTGAGTGTGAAAGAAATGGTTAGTCTGTGGATTACAACTCTATCCACACACTGGGTGTGTGGCACATGCCTGTAATCCCAGTTACTCAGGAAGCTGAGGAAGAAGGATCACAAGTTCAAGGCCAGCCTGGGCAACTTAGTGAGACCCCATCTCAAAATAAAATAAAAAGGTTGAGGATGTAGCTGAGTGGGAAAGCACTATGGGTTCAATCCCCAGTACTAAAAAAAACAAACAGCAAGCAAGCAAACAAAATTGCTCATACACACAGGACTCTCTCCTGTGTAATCACTAAGTAGTTATCTTGCTGCAGCTGTGGGGAAAAGTAGCCTCAGAATGAAGGCAGAAGTCTTGAGGGCTGCCCATCACTGTGCTCCTCATATAGGTTTCTGACCACCACATCATATCTCTTCAGTCTTATCTAACCTGGTACTTTCTAATTCCATCCCATTCCAGGTGATGTTAAAATTGATCACCTGGTCATGTTTCTGTCTGCCAAACTTCACCATAATGTCACCATTTTTCCTCTTTGTGCTTTATTATTATTATGACAGGAGATTCTCTGACATTATTTCAGAATCTTTCCTCATTAAGTTGTAACTCACCAGATTCAGATGCTATTTATGATTCTTGCCTGAATCAGCAACTACTATCATAGTGGCTAACTGGTGATTTTCGATTTACATCATCTCATAGTTTGCATTTTAGTAAGAGAAGATAGCTTCATCGATAGTCTTGTCATTCATTTACTGTATTAGCTTATGGATTCTTATTTCATTCAATAATATTCCATAGTAATGCATGATTATTGTTATTTATCTTGATAGTCCTGTTGTCTCTTATTTGCTTAGTGGGAGACCTTTCAAAGTAGTTCCCTTTGTCTCTTATTTTGAATTATCCTCTCATTCTCTAAGGACTTCCTTCCACCGCCAGAAGTTCCAAAGTTTATTGGGCACAGTGACACAGTAATTACATCTGCTAAGGAGGCTTATGCAGGACTCTCTCCCGTGTAATCACTAAGTAGTTGGCAACTTAGTTTGGCAATGTAGGGATATCCTGTCTCCAATTTTTTTTAAAAAGGGCTGAGGATGTAGCTCCATGAAAGAATGATTGTCTTACAAGGCCTTGGGTTCCATCCCCAGTTTCTCTCCTCCCCCAACCCTCACACACAGAAGAAAAAAAATTTCCGGCTCACTGTGCTCTTTTCCTGCAAGATCTGAAATCAGTTGACATTCATTATGGTGAAGGATGGTATTTACAAGCCAACATCTAGGAGTTTGGGATGCTAATTGCTATTGGTGCAACATTGATTCTATAACTTGTCAATGCACATACCTAAGGAATATATGTATGCATGTTCATATATATGTGGAAATACTCATTCTTCTATATAATTGTTGAAAAATTGTCTCGCAGGTGCACATGGATCTGGAAGGAGGAATAAGAGGAATGGTGGGTGGCAGGCAGTTACTCCCACAGCATGCTGAGCTTTCCATCTATACTTTTCTGTAGCTACTTGGATTGATTAAAATCTATGATTTCTCAGTGGAGCACAGTTACACACTCTTGTAATTCCAGCAGCTCAGGAAGCTGAGGCAGAAGGATCTCAATTTCAAAACCAGCCTCAGCAGCTTAGCAAGGCCCTAAACGACTAAGTGGACATTGTTTCAAAATTTAAAAAATAAAAAAGGCTGGGATGTGGTTCAGTGGTTAAGTGCCCTGGGTTAAATCTCTGATACCAAACAAATAAACAAACAAACAAACAAAAACCCTTCTCATTAGTACACAAGTTTCAATCTTAAACCTTGCATTCTTTCCACATTTCCATGTTTGTAAAATCTTGTCAAAAAGTGAAAAACTTGGTCTAGTTATTCTTAATATACTTGTGGATTTGCCCAGTCAGTTTTCTTATTCACTAATATGAGCATCCTCCCAACCTCCGCCTCCTCTCTTGCTCCCAACCCCATCCTAGCCTGTGTTTGAGGGTGCTGGTTGTTGCTGCCCTCTACCCAGAACTTCCAAGTTCTTTCTACTAAGAAAGGAAGGGGAAGGCAAGTATAATAGAAATAACCAACACATTATTTAAACATAAAATCACAAGTAAGAATATAACTAAGTTTTCTCTCCAGTCAGAATATACATAAATTCAGTAAGGTATATCCCACTTCTTTAGTAATTGAATTATTATTATTATTATTATTATTATTATTATTATTATTGATACTGGGGGTCAATCCCAATGCCTTGAAGATGCCAAGTGCTCTGCAACTGGGCTACATCCCTAGTCCGTGTGTGTGTGTGTGTATTTTGTTTTGTTTTGTTTCTGGAACTTTCTTCCTATGTTGCCCAGGCTAGCCTCAAAATTTCGATCCTGCTGTCTCAGCCTTCAAGAAACTAGGATTATAGATTTGGGCCACCACACATGGCTTAAATTTATTTTATTTTTATTATTTTAATTTTTTTTTCAAAAATTAGAGCTTTATAGTTGTACAGAGTAGTTGGATTTTCCTTTCCCTCTCCTTGAATTTATTTTTAAACTATCATATAAA